TTCTCCTTTATACTCAACTGTGCTCAGGCTGTTTGTGTCCCTGCCCTAGGGACATATTCTTTTCTAGTCTTTATGCTGGGGAAGAAAAATTAACCTAGCTGGTCTTCAGGGGAGTACCAGTTACCTCAAAATATGTTGTTTTTTTTTTTAAATTTTAAATTTAAAATTTTTGTGGGTACATAGTAGGTGTATATATGAGATATTTTGATAACAGGCATGCAATGTGTAATAATCAAATCATGGAAGATGGGGTATCCATCCCCTCAAGCATTTATCCTTTCTGTGAGAAATATTATTTCTTGAACAACTATTTCTGAGGCTAGGAGGATGGTCCCAAACCTAGCCCCCTCTGCTCCCTAGGAGGGCAAAGGAAATGAGCTGCTTTAAGATGAAGAAAATCCTGAAGACCTAGAACCTGCTCCTTACTTTCCCACAGCTTTCCATACTGGAGACTGTGCAGAGACCTAGAGAGGCTGGGGCTGCCTTGGGGTCTTTGACTATCACATAGGGAAAGCTCAGAACTTGCACAGCCCACGGTGCAGCTAAAATGGGTAGCAGCAGGCTAACTCATCCTTGGCTTTTCCTATGAGCTACGGGCTGCAAAAGTAATATGTGAAGTAGAAAAGGATGTTGTGTTTTCGGTAAAAAAAAAAAAAAAGTCTTAAGATTAGGTAAATATCCTTATTCTTTGTTGACTATAGCATAGTATAAAATGGCTTTTCTGAATTTTCAGAGTTATTCTGAAAATTATAATATAAAACAAGCCATGCTTGCTCTAACTAGGGCTGCCCAGTGTAACGTTCTGTGATGATGGAAATGTTCTAGATATAACTATCTAATATGGTAGCCACTAGACATATGTGATTACTGAATACTTGAAATGTGGCTGGAGATTGAGGAACGAATTTTAAATTTTTATTTTAGTTTATGGCTATGTATTAGCACAGGTCTGAGAGAATACATACCTTTATATGTACTTTATTGCTATTTATTCCTTTTATACACAGGAAGTTTTTATGTTAAATTTAGTTTTGTATAAAATTGCTTTGGACTGCAGTTTCATCCATCAAGCACATGAAACAATGTCTAAGAAACTATGTGATATGGTTGGCTGTGTCCCTACCCAAATCTCATATTGAATTGTAGCTCCCATAATTCCCGTATGTTGTGGGAGGGACCCAGTGGGAGATAATTGAATCATGGGGGTGGTTTCCGCCATACTGTTCTTGTGGTAGTGAATAAGTCTCACAAGATCTGATGATTTTATAAGGGGTTTCCCCTTTCACTTGGCTCTCATTCTCTCTTTGCCTGCCACCATGTAAGAGTGCCTTTTGCCTTCTACCATGATTGTGAGGCCTCCCCAGTCACGTGGAACTGTGAGTCCATTAAACCTTTTTCTTAAAAAATTACCCAGTCTTGGGTATGTCTTTATCAGCAGCGTGAAAATGGACTAATACACTATGTCCACCCTCTGCCTACATTGTGTTCTGAGTCTTGGGAATTCTTATCCACAAAGGAGAATTCTATGTGAAGTCAATACTATCAAATATACACTCCTCTCTTGACATATCCCACCTACAAGATGCAATCTCTCCTCAGCAGAGTCCACATCAGACCTGTGAGTATAACCCTGTGATTATAATACATGCCATGGCAGAACGCACATCTTTAACAGCTAAATCCACCTTACAATAATGCTTTAAAAAGCAGCATTTCAGTTATTGTGGTGGTGGTATGTGTTTTCACCATGTCACACTGTGGCTGGTCTTCACTACTGCATTTCACCCTTGTCACCTGGGAATTCTATTCACAAAATATTTTATCCATGTGAGACTATGTAGTTGGTTGGATACTGAAATCATCAAGATGGATGGTTTCTTTCATAATGCTCACTACATTTATCAAGGATGGTATTGGACAAGGCCTGGGTGCTAAGAGCTATAGGGAACATAAGGATGTGAGATTACAAAGATCCCATTTTCAGAACCACAAAGGTACACTGTCAGATAAGAGTTTTGAGCCACAGCTAGAGAGTGGCAAGAGGCAGTCTGGGAGACAATGTTTGGATGCCAAGACATTGGAACATTGCTAACATCTTTTATTATGGCACAGTTTTATGACAGGGATGGTCTGTGGGCTGAACTAAGGTATCCTGCCTTTAAAGTAGTGACTGTCTTTTTATAATTTGCATAAACATTTAAATTAACAGCATTTTTACTTTTTTTCCCTCAATTTTGCTTGTTGTCTGTTCCTACTGGTCTATCCTGAAGTATGAAGCAGTTCTTGATTTAGCACAAGATTATGTATTAACTGATTTTAGGTTTATTAATGGTTCATGGGGTTCCATACTAAGTAGCAATGGATTTTCTAGAGTAACATAAAGTCCCTATCTGATATGGTCTGGATTTGTGTCCCTGCCCAAATCTCATGTCAAATTGTAATCCCCAGTGTTGGAGGAGGGGCCTGGTGGGAGGTGATTGAATCATGGCGGTGATTTCTGCCTTGTCATTCTTATGATAGTGAGTTCTCATGAGATCTGGGTGCTTAATAGTGTGTGGCACCTCCCCGTTCACTCTCTTCCTCCTCCTCCAGCCATGTAAGACGTGCCTGCTTCCTCTTCGCCTTCTGCCATGATTTTAAGTTTCCTGAGGCCTCCCCAGCTGTGCTTCTTGTACAGCCTGCAGAACTTCAAGTCAATTAAACCTCTCTTCTTTATAAATTACCCAGCTTTAGGCAGTTCTTTATAGCAATGTGAGAAAGGATTAATATACCATCTCAACACTGAAAACACAGAGGACATAGGCAAGGTGACCAAAAGTTAATTGAGTGGTACTGGCATGAAGCACTTCACCTCAAGGAGGGTTCTCCTTGTGGGCTAGGGATTCCCAGAGGCCTCTGAGGTGGAGGTGGACTGCAGCTGGACCTTGGGAGGAAACTCTAGGTGTAAAGGCACAGAAAGAGACCAAGCTGGAGTTTTGGAGAGAGTGAGTGGTTCAGGAGAGCAGGGCCAGATAGGTAATATAGAAAGTCAATGGCTGGAAACAAAGGTTGGGATAACATTATAAAAGAAGGGGCAAAAGAGGAGCTAACATTTCTGAATTCTCAACTATATATTAGCTCTTTTAATGGTCACAGTTAACTCCATAATGGAGGTCATATGTATTAACAAGATAATGCATGGCTGGAAAAACAGAATCCAGTCTGGTTGCTTAAGTCAAAGAAGGAAATTTGGCTTGGTGTGGTGGCTCATGCCTCTAATCCCAGCATTTTGGGAAGCTGAGGTGGGAGGATTGCTTGAGCCCAGGAATTTGAGACGAGTCTGGGCAACATAGGGAGACTGCATCTCTACAAATGATAATAAAAAATTAATCAGGTGGTGTATGCCTCTGGTCCCGGGTACTTGAGAAACTGAGGTAGGAGGATTGCTTGAGCCCAGGAAGTCAAGGTTGCAGTGAGCCATGATTGCACCACTGCACTCCAGCCTGGGCAACAGAGTGAGACCCTGTTTCCAGAAAAAAAAAAAAAAAAGAAAGAAAGAAAGAAAAGAAAAGAAATAGGCAAATTCATCTCAAGATCCCAAGGGTAAGAGCACAGTCAACTTGGATTGGAAACCCACCTGGTGTCCGATCAACTGTAATGAAGGAGCCAGACTTTACTGGACAAATATAGCTACCAGGGACTCTGAGAGTGGCTACTGGAGAGAAAAAACTTATGGAGCAATTGCTAAAACATAAAGCGGTGTTGTATAAAAACCAATAGATAAATTGAACAGAATTATTTAAACAAAACTGAAGGAGTAAATATGGGTCTACCTATGGCATGCCTGGTCATGAGTTGATAATTGATGAAACTGGATGATGGATACAGGGGGATTCATTATGCTCTTCTATCTTTGTAAACATTAAAAACTCTCCATAATAAAAGGTTTAGAAAAATACGTGCATTTATGCAGAAACTATAAAGGTCCCTTGGTCCTTCTATTCTAGTCATTATATATGCTTTACTGGAATAAAGACAGATTTTGAATTATTCTTCATGCAGTAAAAGCAAAACCACCCAGACCCATTAAGTAACAAATTTCAGACTTGGTGAGCATCACTGTCACCACTTCAGTTGATTAAAAATCTTGATGGCTGGACCCTTTCCTGGCAATTTTGATTTAGTAGGTCTGGAGGGGAATCTGGGTATCTTACTTTGTACACATGATTCTAGTGGCACTGGTGCATGTCAGCTTTAAGGGCTAGATTCTGTGGATGATCAGGTGCAGGCTGCCCCTTTTCATTCCTATCTTTGGCTTGGTTACTTCCCTGCCAGCAGCATGATGATGTAGCACTTTATGTAGAACCTTAACTACATCGATGCATCATGAGGCATTCTGCCATTTATTCTCATTTTGTGACTGCAGCATACTGTCTTTTTCCTGGGCAGTTGATTTATAATACAGCCCATTTCCATTTTAATAGCTTTAGTTTCAAAACATAAATTTCTTGGGTATTTTTTTCCCAATTTAACCCACTCAACCTCCTGTTGTTGGGTCTTTTGCCAGAAGTGCTCCCTTCCTCCTTTACCAGGGCCAGCTTCATGGGTGGGCGACCTGTGCAGTCACACAGGGCCCATACTCAGAAGGGCCTCACACTTAGTTTAGTGCTCTTCTAGCCCTATTTTATGTTTGAACCTGTGTTCTGTAAGTGAAGTCTGATGGGACAACAGAATATATGCATGAGCGGAGGAGACATGTGCAACACATATCCAGTGTTCCTTACTGCCCCATTCACATGTAGCCTTTGTGATCCCCTGTGAGCAGAGAACTCCACTGGACCCATGATGTGTCAGAGCTCGAAGAGATTCAAAGTGTGTACAAAGTAAGCATCTTATATCTACAGCTGAGTAAGTGGGGGATGCTGAGAGCCCCAAAAGGCTGCACTTCCCATCTGAACCAGACTGGCTTCAAACACAGAAAGAAGGCAATGGCATTCTAAGAAACACGCATGACCAAGGAGCCCTATCATATCCTTTTTTACTCATGTACATTCCTGTGTTAGTCAACCACTTATGCTGAAAATACCAAGAAGTGAAACAGTAACAGTTGAGTTAGTTTTGTACAGTGTTTCTACTGTTGTGGTAAGAATGAAATACATATGCATACAGTATGTAAACATAAGCTATAAAATGCAAATTGTGTAATTTTGGTGATTCTGCATGAGTTAAATAAATGCTCATATTTTCATTTAAAACTGGAATTGCATAATATAAAGATGAATAGTAAAATGCATGATAGGAATTTAACATTTAAGTTTTTAGTTAGAACAGCATTAAGTAGCAAATAAAAAACAACGCCATAACAAGTTGAGGAAGACACTATGGAAGAAAGGAAAAAACGTTACATTTTAGTACCTGTAAAGGCAATGTTTTCCTGCTGTATGCACAAAAGCCCCACATGTTCATTTTGTACTGGATCCTGCATATCATGGAGTCAGTTCTGCTTTTCCCTGCTCAATGCTTCTGAGGCAGGTCTTGAGCCTTTCCTTATCATAACCCCCTTCCTTTGATAGCCTTTTGAGAACTCCCTCTTGATTGCCACGGATTTGAGGGGCACCGCTGACCTCCTGGTTCCTCCGCTGCTTCACTTGTGGAATCTAGGACTGATTCAGAAATTCTGTGATTCAGGGGATCCTCAAGTACTAAAAAAAAAGGGTATCTGCTGCAGTGGAAGATGACATAACTTCTCAACTCCCTTCTAACCTCGCTTGTCTTGGAGAAGCAGCCAAATGCTAGAATCTCTTATCCGGTGCTGGTGGCTCTTCCTTTGATCAGCTCTGGCAAGAAAAATACTTCTGGAAGACTAAACTCCAGCTATTGTCCTCGACAACGTGGTCTCTCTATATCCTTTTCTGCCACTCTATGAATTGTTGCACATTTATAAATCCTTGAAGTATAATAACCTAAACAATTAAAAGGGCCAAAATGTCTCCTAGAGAATATGTGACAATCATGTTATGGTTAAAACATACACACACACACGTACGTTTAAAATGACCACACTGAATTATAAGTGGTTAGTTTTGGGATTGCAAAGGTAAGAAGTCTCGCTATTTTAAAGCAAATGAATAAGCTGTTAATACGACGCTCAGTTTATGCTCCCAAAGACTTTCAAGCACTAATATTTCAGGACTTTGAACTATTACGAGAATGGGGAAGCAGCCAGTTAGAGCTTGCCCTGATCCTTGAAGCCTAACTTTTCACCTTGGTTTTCCTCAGGGGCTATGGAAAGTGGTAGGTGGAGGAGATATCGAAGGCTCTTTCTCATGAATATCTATCATTATTGTCACCAATCAAAATAAACATGTTTCAGAGCAAAAGTGCATGTGGAGAATCCTGCGGACTGCTCTTAGTTCCCCAGTGGGTTTGGAAGAGGGAAACCCTGGGTTGATTAGCAGATAGACAGTGCAAAGGAAGGAAGCCTGGCCAATCACTGGGGTAGAGAGAAGTCAGGAAAGAGCTAGTGAGCCAGCTGGGACTGAAGTGTGCAGATGGTACAGGCCCCTGCACCTCATTCCTCAAAACTCCTAATTCTCTAACCTCTGAGACTTCAGTACAAAAACTGCAGCCACCCCAAGAACTTGGGGCTAGATGGGTGACTCCCCACTTTCCCTGTTGGGAAGTAGGGTGAAGGCCTTGCTTCTGCCCATAGCCAGGACTGTAGAGGGAGGAAATAAATAGGCATTCCTAATTGAAAATATGAGCAACCTTCTTTGTAAAAATTTCACTAAATGTAGTAGGTATGTCAGATTTATCTTGTGTCAAATATTAAGCATATATAGGCTAGAGGTCTAGTACCCCCATATGTCAATGGGAAAGTGATTTCTGAATTACAGGCAACTTGCTTCCAAAAGAACTCTTGGAAGCCCACCCTGTTCTAAGCAGGAGACTGCTTGTCCTGAGGATGGCCAGGGACCAGGCAAAGTGACGCCGGACAACTCAGAGCTGTGGAGAGTCAGACAGAGCACGTGGAAAGCTTCTGTTAACAGTGACAGGCACCATTAAAAGTTTTTCTTTATGAAGAGTTGCGCAAAGCAATGCTTGGGAATTTTTTGTTTTTAAATGGTAAGAATAGAGCACAGCACAAGTACACCTTTTTAAAAAAGTTAATAAGGAAGATAATTGTGGAACATGTATAAACAACATAACACAAAACTGGAAGCAAGAAACTTCACTGCAAACTGATGAGGAAGACAAACTTTATAGGAAGCTACAAAAGAAATGAGCAGAGCAAGATATCCGTGGTAAGGGATACAGAGAACATACAACTGTGTATTTGAGAGGTTTCATGGAACATTGACCCATCAAATGAAGACATCAACATTATTTAACAACAAAAATTAATAGATCTGAGGAAGAGCAGTATGAAAATATTAATGCAGTGCTGTCCAACAGAACTTTCTGTGGTGATGGAAATGTTCCCTATCTCTGTGCTAATACAGAATCTACCAGCCACATGAATTCTAGAAATGTGGCTAATGCAACTGAAGAAATGAATTTTTCATATAATTTAAATTTAAATAGTCATATGTGATTAGTGGCTCCTGAATGAATGACGCAGTTCTAATGCTTCATGGGTCAAAACCAGTGGTTTCTTTGGGGGACTTCTCTAATCAGTGCTAAGGGATTGAGGGTTGAGTGCTGAAGAAGAGGAGAACACTCATTAGACTTATTTGGGCACTTAAACAAGATCCCAAATTCCCCATTGCTTCCAGAGGCAGGGGACAGCACAATGTGCTGTGGAGGCCTCACTAGGAGCCTGGCTAATGTCAGTGGGACTAAAAGGCTTACAATTTTGGTCATTCAGCTGGAAAAAGGCCTATGGTTCACACGCAAAACTGGAGGTCACCCCTAGGGCCATCTGTGCATGGCAGCCACCATTCTGGAGCTGGTAGAGAGCTGGAGGGAGGGGTGCTCACTTCCGGATGGTGTTTCCAGAGCCAGAGGAGGATTTAGAAGTAGAGGATGTGGAGGGACCGGAGGGTCCTGAGGGCCCTTTCTGGCCACCTGCAGGCTGCACAGGCCCTTTCTTTTTTGGGATTACGATCTTGTTCTTGCTCTTAAACACTTTGCTGGGATCTAGCTTATTCACAAAGGAGTCGGTCTCTTCTGTGAGCAGGTTTGTGTTGTAGGTGATAGGTTTATACATGCTGAACCATTGCTGTAAGGCAGAATTGGAAGAGAAGGTCACAATTCAAAGGAGAAATGCCATTCTGTATGCTCTTTTTGGGGGATGCAGGAGAGCTGGGAACAGGAGGTAGAGGTACATTTTCATGAAAAACTGCCTAAAAATCTATTTGCTCTTCCTTAAGTGGAAGTGATAACAGATCCCATCAACCTCTGGTAAGATACACACATTGCTTTATGAGTTCTCATGACCTTTAAGATAAATGTAATGTGAGAACTAAGAATCTGAGCATACTTTCTTCTGATTTAGTGAGTCCTGAGCCTGGGATGCTAGATCCAAAAGCACTAGAGGACAGCGTCTATTGTTCTGTCCTCAAACCAGCTACTCCCCATCAGGTGGATTCTGGCAGCATCATTTCCCCAGGAAAGGCAGGAGACAGAGGCCAGTGTGGGCCTCTGCTGAGGGATGTTATATCTTGTTGGTGTTCTGTTTCCTACTGTTTTCTCAGGCAGCCAAGGGCAAAGGGCATCCACATTTATTTACCTTTTAAATCACAGCCGCCTCCCAATGTTGACCAGATAAATGTTATAATTATGTGACATTTGAAGAAAATGAAGCCTACTAGATGAATACATACATAGTAAGGTGAGCTGGAGCTGAGTTCCTAATTTGTTGCTAATTTAGAGCTGCAAGAAACCACCATGAAGGAGCCCAGATGAGCTCACTCTAGTCAAAAGTTTTTACAGCCACACTTGGTGTTTTCAAACCAGGTTGTATACCTGGTATCTGTGTGTCTGAAATGGTGACCAGATCTGTAATATAAATGAGGCACACCCACACAATGGACTACCCTGTAGCCACTGAAGAGGACAAGTGCTCTAAATGCACTGAAAGGGAGTAAGTCCCAAGATGGAGAGTTATGTGAAAAGAACAAGATGCAGAATCACGTGGACAGTACCTCATTTGAGATTTAGAAAAAATGAACAACAGAAGCGTGCATGCATGCTTTATGTGCAATGAGTATCTTGGGAAGGGCATACAGGAAACTCGTAATAGCAGCTGCCACTAGGGAAGCACACTTGGAGAACAGGGGAGTGAGAGTCTGACTTTTCACTCTTCCTGGGTGCATGTACTGCCAACCCAGAACAAGCCATGGGACATAAACTATCCAATAGAATTTAATTAAAAATAAAACTCCCGAGTTAATTCTGAGGATCAGTCAAGTTTGGGAACCACTTAACTAGATGAGTATAACGTGAAGCTGTCCATTGGAATGACCTGTCTTGCTTATTGAAAATGCAGGTTCCTGGGCCCCACCCTAGATCTCCTGAATCAGATGGGGAAGTTGGGAACCTGCAACGTAACCATTTCCTCAGTAGATTTTGTTATATACCATAGTTTGCGATGGCAGGTGTTCTTTCCTTACCTTGGCCTGCGGGCTAATGCCATAGCTGGTGAAGGCATACTGCCACTGGGGCAGGCCCAGGTGGGTGATGAGCAGGCGGTAATAGGCAGTAAAGGTGTCTGTGAGAAAATGCCAGTATAACGCTCTGTCCAGGAACCAGATCTCGGTGTCTTCTGCTAATGCTGAATTAGAAGACAAAGGAAGTAAAAGATAAGGAATAGTTTAACAGTGTTTTCTTTTTAACTATAAAAGGTTATATTCATGGTCTAAACAAATAAATCCCAACAGAGAGAATGGAAAATGTAAAGTAAAAGTTCCCCTTCTGCCCCACTTCTAACCCTCCAGTCTCCTCTAGTGGCCACTTTACCAGTTCCTTTGATACTCTTACAAATTTTGGCTAGATTGGTAGATTGATCTATCTGCTGGTCTCTGACCATCTGGAAGTCCAGTCAGGCTGTCTAGGCAGCTGCTCCTTTTCTGTGTGTCATCAGCACTCCCCTCCCCTGGTAGGGGGCGGAACACTGTGGTCTCAGCTTTCCTGACAGAGAAAAACATTGAATGGCTTGGGGTTTTCTGGAAGAGGTCTCTATCAATGCCATGAAAAACAAAAAGTGCCACAAAAAACTACCATGAAGGAGCCTAGCCCAGTTCACTCCTGGAGTCTTGCCAATACTGTGGTGTGATGTCCTGCCTCACGGTTTCTGACTTTCCATTCTCACTACTTCAAGCCTATCCTACTTCCTCTGCTCTCTAGATAGCTGTAACATCTCCCTAAGTGCCCTCCGTTATCCATCCAGTCTCTTTCTTTGTCAAAACTGCTGGTGGTCATGATCCCTGCCATTTTACAAAACAACATTCATTGACTCCCCACTGTCTTCCACATTATGTCCAAACTCCTTTGCTTGGCTTTCAAAGCTGTGCCTGAGAGACAGCAATTGGCCTTCTGGCTTAATCTCCTCCTCATCCCCTACATGAACCATGTGGTCCACTGAATTGGAATTATGTGTCATTCCCCACAAATCAGTTGTATTTTCCCACGTCTTGGCTTTTACCCATTTGTCCCTTTGCTTGGATGCTCCCTTGTCTCTTTTACTCCACCAAATCCTCCTCCCGACCTGGTATCTAATTCCTACCCCATAGTTCAAGATGCAGCTCCAAGACTACTTTGCAACAATTCCTCCAGCTGGATGATTTCTCCTTCCCCTAGAGGTAAATCCTAGTGTCTGCATCCTCTCACCCCTACCAGACAGCTAGCTGAAGAGGGCTTGCCATTGTCCAGCTCTGTAGTTTCACAGTCCCTAGGCTAGGGTCTGAAGTGCTGTTAGGGGGCTAGGTGGCAGCTGCTGCTTGAGGGCATTCCCATCTGGGGTCTTTGGTCTAGTAATTCAGGTTTTTATTGCTATTAATTGGCCTAGACAGAGAAGTATAAAAGAAAAGATAATGTGTTTTCTGAATGCTTATCTAGTGCATGAACTTGCTATAGGAGTCTATAAACAAAATGTCTATTTCTTTTAGTTTTTATTCCCATATTATCCTAATCCCATCAACTATTTGGCAATAACTCACAAACGAAGATGGATAAAAGGTCTAGTAATTAGCCCAGAGGGAGATACTCAGAGAGAACCAAAGGGGTTTCTGGGTTTGGGACACACAAGGAACCTGGAAGCATCTCAAGAGGCCAAGGAGGTATGTGTCTCCTGAGCCATGGCTGACAAGCAAGGTCAGGCAAGACCCTAGCCAAACTACAGGACCACACTTGTAAATGATTCTTACCTGGTTTCCCACTTTTGTAGACCAGGCAAACTTTCCCACTGCCATTGCATGAATCCAGCTCAAATATCACACTGCGAGAGTCAAAGTGAGGCTTCTCTGGCTGATCATCACTGGCTGCAAACCCAGAAGTTAATGGTAATGTTCAAACAAACTCAACTCAAACACATATCTATATATCCAACTTTGCCCGGTGGAAAAAACCGAAGGAAAAAGCCTTATCTCAGACATATACTTAAGTAGTATTTTCAAATAAATTCTGTATTTGAATTAAAGCCCTGATCTCATTCATGAACTAGGCCTTGTGTCTGGGTTTCTCTATCAGCAACAGACAATGTCAGGAAATATGGGAAAAGGAGGCATGAGAAAAGCAAACTTAACTTCTTGGAAGTGGGACCACAGAGCAATCTGAATGGCTTGATGTTGACATAACTTCATTTCCTTTCCTGAGATTGTTTATTCTATAAAAGTGGGATTGCAAACACATTATCTGAATCTTTCTTTCTTTCTTTTTTTCTGAGATGGAGTCTCGCTCTGTTGCCCAGGCTGGAGTGCAATGGGGTGATCTCGGCTCACTGCAACCTCCGCCTCCGGGGTTGAAGCAATTCTCCCACCTCAGCCTCCTGAGAAGCTGGGACTACCGGCGTGTGCCACCACGCCTGGCTAATTTTTGTCTTTTTAGTAGAGATGGGGTTTCAGCACGTTGGCCAGACTGGTCTTGAACTTCTGACCCCAAGTGATCTGCCCGTCTCAGCCTCCCAAAGTGCTGGGATTACAGGCAAGAGCCACCACGCCCGGCCAGTCATGGAAAAGCCCTCTAAGTCATGTGGTATAACTCTAATTCATTCTTTTTAAATGACTATTTCATAGTCTGTGGGAGTGAAGTACCCTCATTTATTCCACCATTCCTCTATTGATAGGCATTTACCTACCGTTACTTGGTTGTGAATGCTACAATAATCTTCTTGGTACATGCCCTTATATTCTGGTGCTTTCATTATGTGGGACAGATTCCCTGCAACAGAATAGATGTTGCCAGATTGTTTTTCAAAAAGGCCTTTTTAAGATGCAGGGAGACAGACTGGAAGTCCTTTGTTTTTGAAAGATATTTTCAATGGGTATAGAATTGTGGGTTGATTATTTTATTTTATTTTATTTTATTTTTTTGAGACAGGGTCTCCACTCTGTCACCTGGGCTGGAGTGCAGTGGCATGTGAACATGGTTCATTGTACCCTCGACCTCCTGGGTTCAAGCAATCCTCCTGCCTCAGACTCCCAAGTAGCTGGGGACCACAGGCGTGGCCACCACACCCGGGTAATTTTTAAATTTTTTGTAGAGATGGGAGTTTCGCTATGGTGCCTAGGCTGATCTCAAACTCCTGGGCTCTAGTGACCCTCTGGCCTCAGCCTCCTAAAGTGCTGGGATTACAGGCGTGAACCACTGACCAACCTGTTTTTTCCTTTGAGTATTTGATCTCACTTGAATTGCTTTTAAGGAGAAATATGCTGTTATCCTTATCTTTGTTCTTTTGTATGTAATTTGTCTTTTCCTTTTGGCTGCATTTATGATTTTCTCTTTATCTTTGATTTTGAAAAATCTGATTATGGTGTTTCTTGTTACCATTTACGTTTCTTGTTCCTTGCTTACGAAGCTTATTGGATATGTTGATTTAGTTACCCTGAAATTGGTAAGCTTTTGAGCCATTATTTCTTCAAATATTTTCTAGCCCCTGACCCCTCTTCTCAAAGACTTCAATTACACATACATTATACCATGTGTTATCCCTCAGGTCACTGATACTCTTTTCATTATAAATACTTTTTTTTTCTGTGTAACTTTAGATAGCTTCTATTATGTGTTGAAGTTCTCTAGTCTTTTCTTCTGCAATGTCTTAGCCACTAATAATCCAATCCACTGCATTTTTCATATCAGAAACAAGTTTCCATCTCTAAAAGTTAAATTTGGGATGGAGATATATATATATATATATATATATATATTCCATATATAATATATAACATTATATACATATAATTTGGGGGTATATATATTCTCTCTATATACACATACAAATACATACACACACATGTATCTTCCATGTCTGTTCTTATTTTTTTGACACAGAGAATATAGTTATAGTAACTATTACTATATATGCATTGCTGAGTGTTGGATATTTTTAGATTTCTGTAAATATTCTTGAGCTTTGTTCTCTGACACAGTTAAGTTACTTGGAAACAGATACTTTAGGCCCTCTTCCTTCTTAGCCTTGACCTCCTGGGTTCAAGCAATCCTTCTGCCTCACACTCCCAAGTAGCTGGGGACGACAGGAGTGGCCACCACACATGGGTAATTTTTAAATTTTTTGTAGAGATGGAGTTTCACTATGGTGCCTCGGCTGATCTCAAACTCCTGGGCTCTAGTGATCCTCTGGCCTCGGCCTCCTAAAGCGCTGGGATTACAGGCGTAATCAAGAAACACAAATGATAACAAGAAACCCCTCTTAAGATCTGTCAGGCAGGACTAGGGCAGTATTTACTTAGGGCTAATTATTTTCCATTGCTGCGGCAACATTCTTTTGAGTACTCTATCTAATGCTGTCCAAATCATGAGGTGTTTTAGCCTGTCTGGCTGAAGCAGGCACTATTCCTGGTCCTGTGTGAGTACTGGGCATTATTCCTCCTATCACCATGAGTGGTTTTGTCCTCTGGCCTTAGACAGTTTCTTTGCATACATGTGCTTATCAATTCTTTTCCAAATATTGCAGATCTCTGGGATTTTCCCTTTATGCAGCATTCACCTATCTGTTACTTAGTCCTGTGAACTCTAGGTGTCTGGACTCTCAGCTCTGTCTTCTAACTCCGGGAGTGCTATGGGTCCTGCCTGGGTCTCTCTATTTATTTATTTATTTAGAGAGGGAATCTTGCTCTGTCGCCAGGCTGGAGTGCAGTGGCATGATCTCAGCTCACTGCAACCTCCGACTCCCTGGTTCAAGTGATTCTCTTGCCTCAGCCTCCCGAGTAGCTGGGATTGCAAGCACATGCCACGATGCCCAGCTAATTTTTGTATTTTTCGTAGAGATGGGGTTTCACCGTGTTGGCCAGGATGGTCTTGATCTCCTGACCTGGTGATCCGCCCACCTTGGCGTCCCAAAGTGCTAGGATTACAAGTGTGAGCCACCGCGCCCATCCAGGTCTCCCCCTTTATGCTGTGGACTGGAATCTCTCTTTAGGGAAATCGTAGGGCTCACCTTATTTGTTTCCCATCTCTCAGGGCTCACTGTCCTTTGTTGCCTGATGGCCAGTGCTTGAAAATCACTGTTTTATGTATTTTGTCTGTGTTCTTTGTCACTGTTGCTCCAGGTGGGTAGATAAATCTGTTCTGTTACTCCATCTTGGATGAAATAAAAAGTCCAGGCGATATGTTCCCACCAAGTTTTAGCAGCCCTGCCTGGTGCTGACTGAGGTCTGCCCTTAGGTGAAAAGTTGTAAGAACAGAAAACTCAATGTGGCTCCTTTCTGCCAACTGTAGACACCACTTCAGCTTCTGCCTGCTTTTGACTACTCTCCAGTCCTTTAAGACACATGTTTTTAAACTCCTTCCAGAGTGCAGAGTATTATCTGCAGAAGCCTTGCTCTGGTAAAAGAGATTCTGCCATATTATAAACCCAATGTCAATATTTGAATTTTTTTTTTTTCTTCAAATCTACAATGTCACTGTTTTTTTCAGTTCCTCCCTGAAATTTCAGTTTGGTTTTACCTCCATGGGGGCATATAAGCCTATCGTTTTGTACTCCGTATCTAATGACGTCACTCTTAGTAGTACCAATGGATCTCTTTTGCTTTTTTTTTCTTTTTGAGATGGAGTCTTGCTCTGTTGCCGGGCTGGAGTGCGGTGGCATGATCTTGGCTCACTGCAACCTATGCCTCCCGAGTAGCTGGGATTACAGGTGCACGCCACCACACCTGGCTAATTTTTGTATTTTTAGTAGAATCGGGGTTTTACCATGTTGGCCAGGATGGTCTTGATCTCCTGACCTCATGATTTGCCCACCTTGGCCTCCCAAAGTGCTGGGATTGCAGGTGTGAGCTACCGCACCTGGCCCTCTTTTTTTTTTCTTAATTAATTTTTTTTAAAGTTTTATTTTTAATTGACAAATAATAATTGTATATATTGATGGAGAACAACATGCTATTTTAAGACGTCTATGCATTGTGGAAAGATCACATTGGGCTAATTAGCATACCCACCACTAGTATTTATCATTTCTTTGTGGTGAGAACATTTAAAATCCTTTCTTTTAGCTATTTTGAAATACACATTATTAGCTATAGTCATTATGCTGTGCAATAGATCTCCAGAACTTATTCCTCCTGTCTCACTGAAACTGTGCCTGTTGACCAACATTTCCCCTTTCCCTGTCCAGCCTCCCCACCCCAAGCCTCTGGTAACCACTGCTGATGTGTTACCTGTTCTCTGTGCTGGTTCTCATTCATGGGGTTGTGTGTCCTCATCTGCTGAGTTAATGCCAGTCTGCTTATTATTCCCTCACAAGTAATTTGTTATTTTTGCCTAGAAGCTTGTAATTTTCTCCATATCAGGATATGCATAGGTGTCTGTGTTTTCTCATCTGCTCAACTTGGGTCTAGGTGAGCCCTTTCCATCTGCAGAGAGGTTTTTTTAATTAGTATGTATTTACTGCCTTTCCATCTATTCTCTGTTTTTTGAGCACCTATAATTCCAATGGAAAGTGTCCTAAATCTGTTTTCCACTTCACTTAATTCCTACCTTTTCCTTCATAATTCCCCTCTTTTAAATGTATTCATCTATGCTTTAAGATATTTCTTGCATGTGATTTTCCAGGCTAACTCAGGTCTCAATAAAATACATATACTCTTCTTCAATTCATGTGGTCAATTGTTTGATAATCTTTGTTTTTATCCATAGAATGTCTTTATGTTGTCTTAAATCTCCTTAAGTATTCTTGTTCTTTAGATTTTTATCTGTGTCCTCTAGCAGTTTTATTTCTCTGGTTGTATATTTTTTTAAAAATAGTGATGGGATCTCACTATTTTGCCCAGGCTAGAGTGTGGTGGCTATTCACAGGTGTGATCACAGCATGCTACAGCCTCAAACTCATGGGCTCAAGTGATCAGTGGTGATTTACAGATGTGATGATAGCACACTACAGCCTCAATCTCCTGGGATCCAGTGATCCTCTTGCCTCAGCCTTACAGGTAGCTAGGAATACAGGCTCATACCACTGCACCCGGCTGATTGTGTATTCTATTTTTTCCTGATCATACTCTCCCTGACTGCTGAGTCCCCTGAGAAAAGTCACTGTTTTTCCATTTAGGTTTAATGAGACTTAGGTATACTTGTTGCACTATCCTAAAATGCACGAATCTAGCAAGTATCAGAAGGCCAAATGGTTTTTATCTCCAACTGTATGTGGAACAATGTGATCCCAGGAAGCCTCTCTGTTATCTACTCTACCACTTCTCTTCCAGCCTCAAGAGCAGGGAAGACTTAGCCCACCTATTTGACTACTTCTTCACCTTTTAGAGAAGCCCACCCCACACATATATAGACAGTGCGACCTTTTTCCTACTCCTGGAAATTCCACAAATCTTTGTGTGACAGGCTCTTTCCAGGACCCATCACTGTCCAGCCTCTGCCCCTGAACTCCTCTGGTACTATTCTTCAATTGCTCATCCAATCAGAGGAGAAAGCCTTACACCAATTTTCTCTGCCAGGGCTTAGTGAACTCCAAGGTCAGTATTGGAGACATTAGTTGACTATTCACTGTTTGTTCCTCCTTTCTTTCTTAATGAAAGCCAAGTTCTGTTCAAGGAAGCCATACTGCACAACTAAAAGTATTTACCTTCTCAGACCCCTGGCAACCTGGGTTGCCATTTGACTCTTCTAATAGCTATCAGGAGGTGCTGTGGAGAAAACTATTGTTTTCTTGATCAAAAGGGAGAGATTCTGCAAACAGCCAGGTATTTTGCCCTTTGCCTTTTACTCGTCTTTTTCCTGACAGGAAAAGCCCACCTTCCTCAACCATAAGGATGAAAACCAAATCCAAAGGCTGGTGCGGCACAGTGCCAGAGGCAGACTTTATCACTGACTTTCTCAAGCAGCTACACCAGCCTAGTTCCAGATATCTTGTTATGAGAAAAATAAATTGCTATTTAAACATTGTAACTACATCTGTTATATATGACTAAAACAACTCTGACTAAGTCCTCACTTATACCCAGCTGCTCCTAGGTTTTAGCAGCCACTTGACTTATGAGCCATTTCTCTGAGAAGTGGCAAAGAGCTTGGAGGTAAGAATGGAGAGGAAAGGAGCTGTATTTAGATTGCTGTGTTTCTGAATCCTCCTGATACTGAAATGTTGAGTGAAGTTTAATCTTTAACATTCATTCATGCACCAAGATTCATTAAGTACCTACTATGTGCCATTCATGCACCAAGATTCGTTAAATACCTACTATGTACCAGGCATGGAGCTGGATGCTGGAAACAAAACAAAGATACCAACCCTGGCATCTTCTTCCTACCTTCATGTGTATCGTCCTCCAGGTCTGCCAGAGTGGGTGCATTAGGAAGTGAATACATGGAAGACTGGGTGAGCTGAGTCAGTTTTGAGATGCTGTTAATTGCCATGCTGCCCAGTGGAATGATGTGCTCTAGGGGAACATGCGTAAGGAGAATTACATGGAGTAACAGCCTAGTTACAATGGTTACCACAAGATTCTGCTTGAATAACCTAAGCCCAGGTATTGTTTGGCCCCATGGCTGAGGAATCTGATGGAAGGTGGGAAGAAGAGGATTACTCACTGCATATTCCAAAGTACCAACCTTTCATACAAAAAAGGAAGTGGGGGCCACGGGTGATGAAGAGCCCCCACTGTATGTATTAGGGTAGAGTTGAAGAAAATTTTCAAAGAACTGGGAAATCTGAGCTTAGGGACATCTGAAGGGTAAAGGACTTTAAAATGTTTTTGCTTCCTTTCTCCTTTGTTTAGCAAGTATTCTGCATAAACATTTTCTGAAGGAGTAATAGCTTTGATTATATAATGGACCCCTTCTATTCTTCTTGTTATAAGCTTTCATGATAAAAAATTTCCTCCCTTCTCTTTATCATTTTCCCTTACTCAGTGATAAGAATTTGGCAGCCTTCTTGCTTGGTTCTAGTCTTCTGTGATTAGGGTGTACATACAGACTAGGAAGCTGCATATTTTCTTTATTTGACTGCTGAAAAAACTGGAATGGCTTAAAGCAATAAAACAACCTGTGTATAGACCATGGAATCTCTAAGAAGAAAAGACCACTAAACAGGCAAACAGCAGAAGATGCCTCTGTTGCCTTTTCTGTCACTGACTTAGGGTGTTCAGTATATAATGGTTATGGTAATGGGATAAGAGGACTGGGCTTGGGGAGATTAAATTAGAGAAGGTTTTACAACAATGAACTGGGACTCATTCATGAAACTTTTATTCTCTGAAGCAGGCTTGTGAGGGGGCTAGCCTGTTCCAAGGATGTAGGCCAGGGAGAGTCTGCCAGTTGGCTTAGTCTCTGTCCCCTCTGTGTTGCTCCAGATACCAAAAGCCACAGCCATGTTCTGATGCTGGTGACAAGGATGGTTTCTAAGCCATAGGAGGAAATGATTCTAAGATAAAAGCTAATGTTCAATATTCACTAGCAAGCTATAAAAAAGTACCTCAGGCTGGGCACGGTGCCTCACACCTGTAATCCCAGCACTTTGGGAGGCCGAGGTGGGCAGATCATGAGTTCAGGAGTTTAGGACCAGTCTGACCAACATGGTGAAACCCTGTCTCTACTAAAAATTCAAAAATTAGCCAGGTGTGTTGGCACATGCCTGTAATCCCAGCTACTCAGGAGGCTGAGTCAGGAGAATCTCTTGAACCCAGGAGGCAGAGGTTGCAGTGAGCAGAGATCGCACCACTGCACTCCAGCTTGGGCAACAGAGGGAGACTCCATCTCAAAAAAAAAAAAAAAAAAAAAAAAAAAGTACCTCCCAGCAGTGCAAGACAGACAGGAAGGCTTTGGAAATCACCCAAACAGGGAACTCAGGTGTGTAGGTAGAAGGCCGAGGCAATGAAGGGGAGAAGTCTGCTCTGTAGATATGCAGTGCAACAGAAGTCACAGTGGGGAAATGTAGGGTACTTCCCAAGGCCACAGTAGATTTGGTTGGAGTCAGAGACAATAATGGACTGGAGGGGAGGGACTGGGGAATCTGTGCCAGGAATGGGCTGGGCTCCTGTGGCTGGACAGGGCTTTCTAGCCTATGAAATGTTTTCAAGAGTCTTCACCTAAATGTTCAGCATTGCCTTTCACGCCTACGTAGTACTTAACAATCTGACATGTACAAACTTGTGAGTTCCCACATCCTCACACACGTTTTGTCCTAGACACATTAAAGGATAAAGATGGCAGCCTGTGAACTGAGATAGCTGGTGACTTAGGCTGAGGTGATGTGAAGGAGAGAAGCAAAGATTCTGGCTTGAGGGTTAGGGCCCTGAGTTCTTTATGATGGTGGGAGTAAAGGAAGGAGCCTGAAAGAGATTAAGTGGCCCCCATCATAAACACTAGAGACTGTCAATGCAGCCTACCCTGAGGGGTCTGCTCCAAGGTGGAGTCTTCTGAGGCTTTACGTTTGAGGTGGCTAGGGTTTTTTATGTAGTAATTAATGATTTTCTCCACCCTATTCCTACAGGTAGACTCTACATTGAACTTCCAGTTCCATACTGCTAGACTGTCGTGGGGTTTGTGGTGGGTGAAGCAATGATGGTATCTGTTAGTTTTGGGACATAATCACAGCTTCTGGACATGGCACTTGAGGAGTACCCATGAAAACCATCCAGATTCAAAGACTCAAAAATCAAAGGGCCCTCAGAGTTGTCCCATTCAATCTCTCAGCCAGGGAAATGTTCCCCTACAGCAAGGAGACTGACTCACCATCCAACTTCACACTCCATGTCATATGGAAGCCATTGGTCATCAGGTAAAAGTTCTTCACATCTTCAGGCATCACACAGTTATTCTTCTAGAATCATAAAGCAGCTAAGTGTCAGGTCAGGGCTGGGAAAGAGGGTACAGGGCTATGCCTCAAGGCATTGGAGACATGTTTACCATGTTATAGGCCCCTGAAATAGGAAGGCTCTGATAGTTAACTACAAAACTCTATTAGAGAGGCACTGGGGTCTTGCAAGCAGAGTTCCAGTTTGCCTTTTTTTTTCTTCAGCAGCTAAAGCAAACCAGGTATCTGCTCTGCCGTGATTATGCCTCAATGGGCAGCCACCTGGCAACGGAGCTCAAAGGGATCAAGCTGAAGAGGAGACAGGGGAACATGGTGAAAGGGGAAGTCCTAGGTAAAGTCTGACAATGTTCAAGCAAAGCAATCAATGCCATATATTTCAGACCCATGCTCATATATTATTTTCGGAAACAAATTATTGGACAAATAAGAGCATCTTAAAAGTGAAGAGTATATCATTCCCAGAAAACTTATGCAATGTCTAAGTTCTGACAGCTCTTAGAAGGTAACCATATATATTCAAATATTTCACATATCCATGGATACGAAATCATCCAAAACTGTTAGATAAGAAATCATCCAAACTGTTGGCGGAGAGCACAAAGAAGGAGCTTAGTATCCTTTCAGGAGATACCAGGAACAAGCCCTATATTCTAAGTAACTCACATCTGTGTGTGTGTATGACCAGTCTTCCCTAGCCAACTCAAATCCCTGGAGTGTGCAAAGGATGAGTTCTCCAATTCATTTCCTAGGCCCTGTAGAGTGACTTCTTGATGTAGTTATAGAGGCAAAGAAGCAACATGTTAGTAACTATCCAAGCTTGTGGCTTACCGGACCCTTCTGAGATGTGATACTGACAACTGCTTATGTCAGGACTGCATTAGGTCATCCTGTCAGTCAGTTCTAGGTACCCAACGCGTGAGAAAGCATCATGTAGAAGGATGATCTGAGTTCACTTCCCAACTCTGCCAGTAGCTGAGTGACCTTGAATATGTTACTCTGTGAATCTATGTTCAAGAATAAACTCTAAGACTTAATATACAGAACACTGGCAGTACGAGGGGGTGTGAGTTTGACAGGAAGAGAGGAGACTAGGAAATTATTATTATTCACAGCCACAGCATCTTCAGGAACTATAGATAAAGAGAAACCTTCAAGCTTGCCAGAGATTTTAAGCAGTGTTTTTAGATTATTAAATGGACAACAGCTGTCATTTTAATGAAACATGTTTTAAATTTCCTTTATTTATGAACTGAAATGTATGTTCTGACCAAGTTTTGTTTTTTCTGTGTCCACTATTTAGTACCCAGTCTCACAGATGTGAAATTTAAGAGACTCTCAGACTCCTTGGACTAATTTGTTTTCCTACTATTTGGAGTTAGGGGCTTGCTCCTATTGCCTCCTGTGTGGCCACATTATCTGTGCTTTCAGAAGAAAAAATGCACTTGCAGAATGCCTTTCTCCCACCCCTAAAACCCTGGTACAGGAAGCCTACAGTTACCAGTGTTCTGACGAGGTCCTTGCTCCTCTTTTCACTCCAAAAGGCCAGCATCTCTCTGACATTTTGATCACTAGTGCCATCTAGTGGTGAAGACGAGGAAACTACTGTCTGTCAGCCTTTCTTAATGGGGATTCCATGAGATCCAGGCTGAGGGCTGGTGGACTATTTGGCATTGTTCATATGTAAGTCAGGCTGAATAATTTCAGTAATAGTAATTATAACATTTGTTATGGTATTTATTTCACCCAAGAAAGAGATTTTGGTATTATTTTATACCAGTAATTTTTACAATTTTTCAAAATTCATACAAATAGAAAAAAATCTGTGAAATCCAATATTTAATACATATTTCACATACTAATATACATAAAAATTTTCAAGTAAACCAACTTAATGAAAAACATCAATCCCTCACTGTCATTCTAATTTAAATGACTAGCGGCCTTGGCTCTGCTGCTCTTTGCTGCAGACCCTTCTGCCCCAAGCACCCCCGGGGCAGTTGCTGGGTCTGCAGTGCTCCAGCCTTCCTACTGTATGTAGCTCTTCTGAGTGGGGCAAATCCAGGAAGAAAGGTTCACAACCAAAACTTAAATGACCACATACCTGCTTCAGCCCTTTCAGGATGGAAAGAAACGTAAACAACCTCTCCTAATTTTAACGTATTTCACCATTTTTTTTTTCTGGCCAGTGACTCAGTTACTGCCGTTTTAAAATTTCTCTGCTAACCAACCTGAAAAGAGTTTGCTTTTCCACAGGGGGCAATCTGCCCACATCAGAGGGGTTCTTCCTGCACAGATTCATGCTCAGTCTATATTTTGGGGGCTGTAATAGGAGGGTGGGGAGGAGGAAGATTGGCAGAAAGTAAATGGACAAGGGTATTATCAGGATTGGAGGGAGGGTCTGGGGAGAAAGCCAACAAGGAAGAATAACACCAACTGGTGTCTGAAATAACAGCTGATTGCATCAAGATGGTATCTGCGATCTCTAGCCCAATGGTGATTCTGTCACATAGTTCCTAATTTTTAATCTTTCTTTCTTCTCCTGAGACAATCGACAATGGTTTCTTTAAGCTACTTTAGAAAGAGTCCACCACAAGCTCTGTTACTCTTTCATTGGATGAAGGACCTGAGCCACATTTTTGTTTTGGGAGCTATCAACAAGACTCCAGAAAATCAATAGCACTGGGCCTTAAGGGAAGGGCTAGGGGCTGTCCATTGCCTTCTACTCACCATTTCTATTCCTGGACAATCCTGCACCCCATTGTTCCCCTCACTTTTAGAGGCCACTTCCCAACTTGGGAGCAGATGCAGGATCAGGTCAGCATAGGGGCCACAGGACAGAAATCAATGTTTCTGTAGGTGCTGGTCCACGCTGAGCTGGCTCTCTGGCTGGTCTGCAGCCAGGGTCAGGTGAAGAGCTGCCCAGGACGTCCATCAAGAAGCGTGAGAACATTGCTGGAAATTGTGGCAGTGAGCACAACGGCACCTCCTGAAACTCTTCTCAGGGAGGACATTCCACAAAGTGGAGGAAAACCTGGATGAGCTGTGGAGGGATAGTGTGAGATCCCCAAGAGAATTCCCGAATATATTCTCAAACTTCCACCTTAGGAGAGGTGGAGGGCTTCGTTAACTGAACGCTTTTGTTTTGCTGAGGTTGCAGAATCTCCTGCAATTAGTGCTGGACATTAAAATGTAAACACAAGTCCAAAAGACAAGGTTTCTAAGAAAACTTTCACTGTCCTGTTAAAAGGTGACAGATGTGCCTAGTAACATCCCTTACCTCTTTTTTGTTTTTTGAGCTTGGAAATGATAGCTGAGACTTTAGCAGTTATTTTGCTACTATGATATTGTGAAATATATATTTGGTCTCTGTCCCAGATTCCTGGCATACAATTTCTAAAATCCTTGGAATCTCCAAAGTGGTATCTTTTTGTGTGCTAAAGAGTTCACAAATGACTGGCATCTCCAAGGTAGCTGCAGGATGGGGGATTATCACCAGAACAACCAAGGCAGGGAGTAGGTTGGAACTTTCAGCCCCACCCCCTAACCTCAGGGAGGGAAGAGGGGCTGAAGGGTAAGTTGATCATCAATGACCGATGGTTTAATCAATCATGTCTACATAATGAATCCTCCATAAAACGGCAAAAGACAAGAGTTTGAAGAGCTTCCGGACAGCTGAGCACATGGAAGTTCCTGTAGGGTGGCATGCTCTCGGATGGCAGGGAGGTTCCCCGCCCTCCCACCACACCTTGCCCTGTGCATCTCTTCATCTGTTTCCTTTCTAATACACCTGTAAATGTTAAGTAAGTGTTCTTCTGAGTTCTGTGAGCCACTCCAGCAAATTAACTGAACCTGAGGAGGGAGTCATGGGAACCCCAATTTATAGCTGGTGGGTCAGCAGCACAGGTAAAACAACCTGGGACTTGCAGTTGGCATTGGAAGTGAGGGGCAGTCCTGTGCGACTGAGCCCTTAACCTACGGGATCTGACACTATCTCCAGGGAGACAGTGTCGGAATTGAATTGGAGGACACCCAGCTGGTATTCACTGCAGAACTGATTGCTTGTTGATGTGTTTGAGAACTCCCCCTTGCAACACACACACATTTGGTTATGGAAATTTTCTGTGTTGATTGTTGCGGAATAACAAGAGAGGAAAAACAGTGTGTGTTTCTTCTATTCAGAGGCACCATAAAGAAAAAGGACAAAAGAATTACAGAGATAACGGCTTAACATTATCAGGGCTGATGAACTAACTGCAACTGTCTACCTCAGGACATGTTACATGAAAAGTATCAATTCCTATTTGCTTAAGTTATTGCTAGTTTATCTTTCCTTAAGTCAAACATATTCCTAATTTATATAGAGACAAATGTTGAACAGATAAGTGTTGTGGAGCTGAAGGGGCAAAGAGAACTAGGAGGGAAGAGTCTGCGAGGAAGGAAAGAATCAGAGTTGTGCTTCTGCATCCAAGGGAGGAGAGGCTAGCAGAGAAGGGATTGGCTAACTGGGAGGCATGCAGGAGTGATACCAAGTGAGATGAAGTCAGTCTTTAGCCGTGGAGAGGTCCTAGTGATTTTGACAGAATGGTATCCAAGAATGGTGGTGGCTAAAGAGAGGCTGTAGCAGGATGAATAACTGAGAAATGAAGGAAGGATGATAATTCGTAAACTATGGCCACTGGATCTACCCTGTCACCTGTTTTTGTAAAAATGTTTCATTTGAACATAGTCACACCCATGCATATCACTACTGTTGATGGCTGCTTTCACAGCTACAATGGCAGAAATGAGTAGTTGTGACAGAGACTGTAACACCAGAGCATAAACTATCTGGTCCTCTAAAGAAAACATTTCCCAACCCCTGGTGTAGACAATTTTTCTACACACTTGGCATGAAAAGGAACAAATAGCTAAATAGCTAGAAGGAGACATATGTTGAAGGTTTTTTGTTTTTAATTTTAAAGAGATGGGACGCCCCTACGGGGAAGCTGCCAGCAGAAAGAAGTGAA